TCATTTACAGCCCACTGACCCAGGTTGACCTGCTGGATCTGGGTCAATAGGGACAGCTAGCGCCACGGTGGAGACGGGTGGGGCGCAAGGTAAGGCAGGCTGTCTGCGGGAGAGTGTATAGTCTGCGAAGAGCGGATGGATGGATGTCTGGTGCTGAAGGACAATGTGTTTGGTAAGTGTGTAATGTCTGTCCGCGTGGAGGTACCAGTGTGTGTCTGTCGGCAGATGACAAAAGCTGGTGTGTGCGTCTAGGTGTTTGAGCACACGTGTGCCACTTGGTGATTGTGTATGTGTGTTAGCTTATTCCTCATTGTGCTGGACTTCAGAGGCCCAAGCGTCTCCTGCTTCCTCTCGGAGGCAGTGGGTTAAAAATAATGTGGTGTGCAGTGAGCGGCGGGGAGCAAGGCGCAGACAGCTAGGAGCCAGAGCGTCTCACACACACACACACAGACAGACACACACACACACACACTCAGCCATTGCAGCGGCGCTATATGGATTTTTTTTCTCTTTTATGGATATCTCACACAGACTTAATATCCTCATAAATGTTAGCATACACAAACAGAAATAGATGGTCATCCATTTACCCACACTTCATCTGATGCCTTTCTTCCAGATAAAAAGCAGATTGAACATCTGTCTCACCTTTTTCTTTTCACATAATCTCCCCACTAAACACGCACCGTAACCCTTTCACCCTGCAAATATTAGGTTGAAAACCTGTAATCATTATAATATAGCCTGGATAGAGCTGTAGGACAGTAAATATGTTATTTAATTCAATTTTATATGTGTTAAGGGAGCAGCCAGCTTAGTCATTCATGACTGTTTCAATAGCTAACCTTGTGGATTGGAGCTCATCCTTGGTGGAGCGCAGGCTCGGCTTTACCTCAAATTAAAGGTTACTCCCTTCTTAATAGGGTTCAAGCTAACTAGCAGATAAAGAGACATTCCCACAACACAAGGTGGCACTGAGACCTTGTAGGTAACTGATTTAACCTTAGACACCCACAGTACGTGTGCCAGTTTGTGCCGACTATCTAAATAGCATGGGAAGAAGAGACCGATGACTCACAGGTAATTGGCCTATCGCAACCTCTCCCCCATCTTCCTCTTCCACCCCTCCCTACATTGCGTGAGGAAGCCAGGGCGGCTGCAGTCTTTCTCCGCCCCGAGATAAGACTGTCTCCAACCGGCCTCGCACACCTCCTGTCATCTGTCTGCTCTCCTTATCAGCTAGCCGGTGCAGCGTGGTGGTGTTGACGCTCTAATTAAACCCACGCTGTCACACCTGCCCCCACCACCGCCACCTTTGATCTATAGCATCGAAAGTTCTGCATTGTACAGTACAGGGAAATGTTTTCCTTTATGGTTTATGATAATACCCATTTGTGTAGTGTATCATTGTAATTGCATTCTATTCGGTTCAATGCTCTGCACAAGATAATTGCATATACAAGGGATATAAATTACATGGAGACAACATATCACAATGCTATGCAACTAGTTCCAGAAGCAGAAGCAGCTGCTGCAGGCTGATGTACATCAGTGACAAGGTCAGTTGTCTCACAACAACAAGTGTCCATACTGTTTTTTTTCTTACAGTCCTTTTGCCCCAAGGTGTTGATATGTTTGTCAGCAGATCTGTAGCTTTGTAATGGACTAATGACCCATAAACAATGTCCCCTGCATTCTGTCAAAAGCTGAAAGTAAAAAACAATATTGTTATATTTTATCATTTGAGATGGATGACAACTGATTGTCATTAACAATCGAGGATTTATCAATTTGATTTGTCATCCCAAATATTCTGAAACATGCATCAGCAGCAAGTGAAAGATTGAGTAAAGGTTTGAGGTTTGCTACAAATAAAAATAAATCATATTTTGTTATATTATGACGTTCTGATCTATAGTATCAGTTTACTTGTCTGTCGCTGGTCAGCAGAGGTACTTTTGACAGCTATGGTTTATAGGTGCAAGGGGAGGGGAATCAACACCACTCAACATGTTTTACTTCACTCTTATCTGATTACAGTGTTTACAAAGTGGGTGTGTTGTAAAAACACATTTCTGGGATTATTTTATATTCCTTTTACTCAGAACAAATCCGCCCACGTGTCTCTATTTTCAGAGCACTGTCTTCACACCTTTCTGTTTCCTTATCAGTGCCTTTTGACCCACAACAATTCAACAATTTAATCACAAAATCAATACACACTGGAAAGACACTGATCTTAACCAACAGGTTATGTGGGTCGAAGCATTCAGGTGAACAAATAGCCCATTCTGTCCCCACTCACTGTATCTGTGACACGGCGTGTGTGATAAGGAAGCACTGATAGAGGTACGGAGAGATACTTGAGCAGAGAGTTGCACACAAAAGGTATACTCATAAATGTTTATAGCTCACCATTAAACTTTGCTTGGATGTTGAATATGTCGCTCACTGATAGCGGAGCCTGTCAGCTGATTTATGGTCATCTGTGAAATTGCCATAGTGACGCCTGGAGAGGATGACTAACCAACTCAGGTAGGGTCAACAAGCTCAGACAGTCAGATAAGAGAGAACGAGGCAGAGACAGACACAGAGAGAGAGACAGAGAGAAAGAGAGCCCTTGGGATGGACGAGAAGAATGAGGGTCACTCCACGTAAACATGGTAGACATCTCCCGATCTGCCCCGAAGACATAAGACCAGACGCAAACTATTTAATCTGATTGTTCTGTTGTTTGTCTGAGGATTTCTATCAGTAAAAAACACACATTTATTTTTTAACATTCTCAAATTAATCCTATTGTTTTTCTACGAGTATGTATTATCTATCTACTTGAAGTGTGTTTTAGTATCTCCTTGCAAGCAACAAAAGTACTTATGTGGCATTTATCAAGCGTGATATCATTACACAGAGTGTGTCCATCTTTTGCTTTCTTTCTCTCTCCCAGTTGAGAATTCAGGCCTCAACAACATTTGTCTCAATCAGCTGCCACTGTTTCCATTTGGCCTGTATACCCATTCAATATTGAAACCAGCAGCTTCTAGCTCAGACATTAAACACACACCAGCCGCAGCACACCAGCATGTCTTGAATCCACACATCCCACCATAATGCCATTTAGAATAATAGCACTGTGAGCAAATAGCAGTTAACTGTGTTAACGTCTGAATCTGGCCCGCCATGCCTATGCTAGCATTTGTCATCTTTATCAATAAGCAGAAGGTCTGACATGAATCCAATTTGCTCCTCGAAAACCTCTTGTCCCTATGTCATCTACATTCATACGCAAACACGTGCAGTCACTCACAATAATGTCACAGGTGCTTGTGCTGTCCTCTGACCTCAGAAGTGTGTGTATTTGCAGAGATAGACTTCCTCTTCTCCCGATTAAGGCACACCGAATCATGTCAGCGTGCCCCTGGCTGAACCCTGACCATCAAAAACAACGCTAATTTTTGGGGAGGTATCTTTGATTTTTTTTGGGGGGGGAGGTTGTAGCTTTTGAGCATGGTGGAACCGGGCGTTCCCCCTGACACTGACCTCCTGACCTCCTTGACCTGCGGTGCGGCTTGGACAAAGGAAGCCTTTCCCTTTTAATTTTGCCCAGGGAGCGTTATATGGGACCTGACCCTGCGCTCCTCTTAACCTTTTGGACCTCCGGCCTGATGTCCGTGATTTAGGGCAAATTTCATTACATGCATTCTCCGGATGAGACTGTTGACTAAGAGGATGTGGCACTGCAACAACTCAGCCTGATTAAAATGTCAGGTAAGGCAGACGGCAGAGAGATGACATGTTCAACTCATGTGAAAGAAAAGCATGTGTTGTTGCTCTATTGTTGATAAATGCAAACTCTTCACATAATTGCGCAATACACAATAAAAGCTCGGGACTCCAGATTGATAAATCTTCATGTATGCTCTATTAAAACACAAACAACATTCAGAAATTCAATTCAAAGAACACTGCAGGGGATTTGACTATAAAACAATACCGGTGTTTCAATTGCATCTGCCTAACCCATTCATCTTGTGGGAAATATGTGTAATGTGAGCTCTTGCTCTTTCACACACTAGGCGTGATAGCCATCGTACTGTCTGCAAACAACCCATTTCAGGAACTTGTGAAGCTGTACAAGCAGAACAGAATGCCAACACCATCGGGGACAAAAGATGAGTGAGCAGCGTCAGAAAGGGAAGACTCTTGAGAATAGCTGCCATGATAGGCGCCTGGGCCTGTGTGCTGTCTACCTGTCTCTCTTCCTAACTGCCATGTTCTTGTCCTTGTTGACACCCTGTCAGCCCCACCTAGCCAGGACCCTTTGGGTAGCAGGCGGGCGGCTGAGGTGGAGGTACACAAAGCAGGCAGGCTGAATGGGGCTGGCTGGGCTGGGCTCTAATGGAGCCAGCCTTCCAGACGCAGACAATGGCAGGGCCCGAGGCCGGGGCCTGAAACCTGAAGCCCCGGCCTGGTATTTTAAGAGGCCTGAGTGGCTCTGGAGCCAGTTGTCAATCAATAGGTGCACACAATCAGGCAAAAACAAGACTTGGAAGGTCGAAAAAAAAAGTCGAGACGATGACAGAGGACAGAAAATATTGACAGATATTCTTTTTTCTCTTTTTGAGCCAATCTTAAGATTCACCTTAAGGTCCTTTCACACAAATACACAAACAGCACAAAATACACACACACATACACTGCTACCTTTTTCAGGCCAAGGTTGCTGCTTACAGACTGAAGTCTTCATTGTCTAAAGTGCCTGGAGAAGGGGTGGGGTGGAGCAGCCGCGTGTGTGTGTGTGTGTGTGTGTGTGTGTGTGTGTGTGTGTGTGTGTGTGTGTGTGTGTGTGTGTGTGTGTGTGTGTGAATGCAGGGGGTTCATCAATACACGATGTAATGCTTTCACCATTCCAGGCTCGATGTGTGTTATTGTGTGTGTGTGTGTGTGTGTGTGTGTGTGTGTGTGTGTGTGTGTGTGTGTGTGTGTGTGTGTACACATACCAGAGACAGCAACTGCAGCAGAGCTGGGCTCCCTCCTCCTTTCACAAACACTTGCATCATTTTGTCAGGAAGGAAAGGACCTGTCTCCTTTTCTCTCCTCTCCTCTGACACCTCGCAGACATCTGAGGGGAAAGCAAAGAGCTTGATGATGCCGCCCATGAAAGCCAGGAACTGTCTCCATGGAATGGCAGACCATAATAACCCAGCAAATGACCTATTACCTCCATGTGTCAAGGTGGTGGATGAAGACTTCTATGTTTCCTTATCTCCCGTATGTTGTTTGCTTCTCCTGTGCTTCTCACTTTCTCTCTGTAGATCAGTGTGTTGTCCCACCTGTCCACCAGTTGACCCCAATGTGCCCCCAATGCATGTTGTATCTCTTAAATTAAACATTCACTAAGTGGAATGGATTCCTTCATTGTTTTTGTGGCCTGTCCACCCCACATGTCTTACCCATGCCTTGGCACTCTGCAGCACCAGTACTATAGTGGTCCTTAATAGGATACTTCCCCCCAAAAAAGACCATATGTATATCAATTACCATCTAAAAACTGTTTTTATTAAACTGTTTTTATTGAATGCATTCTCAAAATCTTGATTCTTGATCAATTGAAGTAAATGGGGGTTACTCTCCCAGCTGGTGCAGTGGAAACAAAGTATCATTTACCCAGTCATAATGCTCCTATATTTCTCACTAGTAATTTTTTGGAATAGTAAGGTTTTAAGCAAAAATGCATGTATTTGTGAAGTAAAGAGCACAAGCCTGGATAAATGAGATTTGGATTATAATCATATTATGATTTTATCATTAATCTATTAGTCATATTAGTAGTATCATATTGTCTAATGTGGCTGCCATTTTTATCAAGAACTTTTCGTTTTTGTAAGTTCTTCATTCAATGGAGAGACAACATTTCTTTACAAATTGGAGGTAACATGGGGTAAGTCACTGATGTACAAATTGTTCCTTTGGGAAAAAAGTATTCCTTCAAGGTTGCTACAGTAAGCACCATCAAACTAGAAACACCCTTGAATTCAATGGTATTTGCAGTACAATATGTCCCTACCAATGTCAAGTTGTGGCTGAATTGTCTGTACAACATATTGTTTATATTGCAAGACTTGTTTAAAAGATGTGCAATTTTACTGTCATTTGTTAACACCCATGACATTTCTGAACTCTTTTATTTGCCACTGCCAGAAGCTAAGAGAGTCTGTTTTTGTTTGCAGGATGGCCTCTCCTCAGAGAAATCTTACTCTGTGTTCCCAGTGTTTGTACAAATTCATTAAAAACAGCTGTCAGAGATGCAGTGGTGCTTTAAAGACTGCATTTACTTCAAAGCACCTTTTTTGTATATGATGGTACGGCACGAAATGTGTCTTTTACATCAAGAAAGATTAAAGATCAACAAAAAATATGCCATCAATTATGTACGATTGCTACTTGTCAAACTGCTGCATCGTTACTGGTATAATAACAACAACACTTACTTAAGTTGTCAAAGTACTCCAGCTTCTTAACTAACTGAATGTGCAAGCTATCAGGAGATTGGTCAAAATATTCTGTCAAGGGCCAAAGTCAGTTGAGTTGACTGCACTGACTGGAGTGTTGCAGCTCCCTCAGCCTGTGAGATGCAGATTAGAAGTGACCAGTAGTACCATCAGAGAGCGGCGCCTGCCTCGTGTTTGTCAGTGAAACATGCGTCCAGACACATCTGCAAGCAGTTGACTGGGCCTTTTCCTGCCGCTGTGTTCCTGAGAGGTCTGGAAGGGTGACACGCCGATGCTGACCTTATTGTGCCCCGCCTGTCACTTAACCTTCATGTTAGATGTCAGCTCCCCTGCCGCCAACATTCAATCGCCCCAACCCTGACACCAAACACGACGCACGCACGCACAGTTTAAAGTTGTGACCTCGAACTTGGGGAAGAAAGGGGAAACAGCCACCGAGCCAAAAACCCATTTCAACATTTCCATCTACTGTTTGAAAAGCTAGAATTAGTTAGAGCTGCAGAGTAAAGTCTTGATTTGGGTCATTTATATGATGATGATGATAGTTGCATGGGGGGAAAAAAACTTGAAGTTAAATAATAATAACCTTCAAGATCACCTCTTCTTTATTACATATTGGGCAGCTACCCTACCGTATGTCCATGCCCTCTTGAATGACAGCAACTCATACAGATAAATCTGAAACCCTGAAAACAACCAATTTCTCACCCAAAGTGGTTATGATCCTCGGCTTTTGAAACAAAACTGGTCCCTGTGATAAACTGTTTCAAAAAGTTTACATTTTCTTTGCCTCTGGAGCCCTCGAAACACAAGCTCGAGCTGTATAAATCTGTCAGGGCTGCAGAGTTGAGCGTATACAGAGTCTTGATTTACACATTCCAGATGGGAGATTACAGGACTGTGGTGAAGCACTGGAGCATCACACACACTCTACTCCATCCACTTCCCAGCTACCCTTTGATGGAGATCCCTCTTGTCTTGGCGGTGAACATTACGAGCTTTCTAACAAACAAACAAAAGAGACATTTAAACGTGGGTTTTTGGGAGGTATGGTGCATATAATGAAACACATTTGTGCTATTTGAGTCAGACACTGTATCTGGAACAAATATGAGCTTGCAAGAAACAATTCCAGCACATAAACCCCTGAGCATGAGTCAGATTGTGAATATATGAGGATTCCCTGTTGGTTCAGCACAATACGACATTGTTGATTATGTATTCAGACAATTCTCCACAGTTGTCTCCTGGGTGGACTTGCATTGTAACAATTTACAAAAACAAAAGACTCACACAGAGGAAGAGTGTGCATATTGAGACAATGCTCTTTGGTGAGATCTCTTTGTGTGTGTGTGTGTGTGTGTGTGTGTGTGTGTGTGTGTGTGTGTGTGTGTGTGTGTGTGTGTGTGTGTGTGTGTGTGTGTGTGTGTGTTTGTGTGTGTTTGCTCGTGTGTGTGTGTGTGTGTGTGTGTGCGTGTGTGTGTGTGTGTATGCGTGTGTGTGTATGCGTGTGTGTGTGTGTTTGCTCGTGTGTGTGCGTGTGTGTGTGTGTGTGTGCTCGTGCGTGCGTGTGCGTGCGTGTGTGTGTGTGTGTGTGTATGCGTGTCTGTGTGTGTGTATGCGTGTGTGTTTGTTCGTGTGTGTTTGTTCGTGTGTGTGCGTGTGCCGACGTCTGCAAGTGCTTATGTGGTGTAGGCAGCACACTTTCCTCCCTAAGGGCTAAGCCGGGGGTGCGTAAACAGTGATCCTATGGTGCTGGGCGGAACAATTCAGTGTCAGGGAAAAGGTCAGCTATCACTGCTCAGCTCCATCAGGTCAGAGGAAAAACACAGAAAGAGAAGGAAAGAGCATGCTAAAGTGATGAGGGCCCGGAGAATATGTTTCCAATAGACCCTCGTCAGGCTGCGTTAGCATCTGCGTCCAACACGTGCACCGCAGGGATCATGACCCTCCACTTCCCCTTCCCTTGCTCTCCCCATTGGGCAGAGCTGGCCTGCAAGGTCACCAAATAGCTGAATGGGGCAGAGTGAGGCACAACATAAACTGACCCCCCCAGCAACCACCCTCCCCTAAATCCCCCTACACACCCCCTGGACATTTCCAGAGAGGAGAGGACCAGAGAGGTCCTACCCCATCCCTGCCAGGGTCACTGACAGCCTGCAAAATCACACCAGAGCCTGAAGCACCCGGCTGTAGGGAGCTCAGGGTGGAGCTACTGCCTTTTCCCGAATGGCTGTTCATCTGTTAAGCAGGTTATAAAATAAAATAAAAGGTTTAGGGCAAATATTGGACGAGAATACGCTATCACTGGAGGCATCTTGTTGATCACACCGTAGCCAGTGGTACTGTCGGCCATGATCACTGTACACACAGGCCGAGGCTCTGAAACACAGACGGACCACCGAGACCTTTATGCTGCTTTTACCTGCAGTAACACGACTCATGTGTGGCATTATTAACCATAATAGAAAGTGATGGGCTAACAGAGAAGATAAAGATCATTTTTTTTTAAATATCATGTTTTTGGGTTAGATGGTGAAAGCATGGAGTAATACACAGTACTACACAAAAATAACACTTAATATTCACCCCTGCAGTTCATAATTTACATTTAATTAATGCTCTCAACCTTCATCATAATACTGATTAAGTGTAAAGGTGTCTACCCATGTAATATTCAAGGCTTAAATTAGGTCCCAACCTGTTACACAGAACGCTGTACAAAGTACACCTACAGTAAACTCAGGCAGATTAAAATCAGACAAATTATTATACGTGTTTCCTTTATCTTATCTCATCAATGATTGAGAGGAAGAGCAGTAGACATGGTGTAACACTGTTATAAAGGACATTGTTAATGATGAGGAAGACATGACTCAAAATAACCGAAAAACTAAGATGATTCAAAATGCTGCAGTTAAATAATTATCAGGCAAATAAAATTGTCATGGGCATTTGTTCCATTAGCGATTTTATTCCCCTCTCTGTATTTTCAAATGTTGTTTTTAATCAGCATTTTTGCAGTACTGCTTCAACATAAAAAAGCCACAATCAATGAAAAAGAAAAATCACAATTTAGGTTGAGAAAAACACACATTCTTCCGCTTGATAGAGACAAAATAATTATTAATTAGGAAGGAGCGCCTCACTTAATTAGTCCTTTCGTTAAGGAAATGAGTGCAGAAGAACTCTGATCGAAATGCGTGGTTGTGTTTTCCAATGCATGACCATGAAAATAATAGGAGGGGGCCGGAGGAGGGAAAGGGGAAAAGGAGAAAAATCCCTGGCTAATTTAAATACAGTCTTATTAGTCTAATGACCAGAGTCTGTGATCACTACTCATCACCATTAATGCCACGACTCTCCCCTGCTCTGATTGCCCAAGGCTCAGCTTTTTCCCCTTAGCCCACATTCGGCTGAGGAACCAACGCGTTTTCCCTTCCGCTACACATGAAATGTGACATGAGGACACTAATGTATGTGGAAAAGGGACGGAAAGCAGGGATGTGAGACACTCTGCACTCCTCCTTTCGCGGTTAATGATATGACGTGCTGCACGGAAACCAAAAACTCCACTCCTTTTAAAAGCCATCAGCTCTGAGGCATGTTTCTATTAAGAACACTCCTAAATGTTATAATAGGTGGCCCTAACGAGCTTTGGCCTCGCTCTCCTATCTGCCGTCCTCAACTACCATATTGGCTGACGCTGATGCTTATCAAAATGATGAATGCAGCATTAACTTCAAATGAGTTGGAAGATTGGAAAAAGGGGGAAAAGTCGTGTTTATCATTGCATGAATTGTTTCTGTTTTCTGCTCCACATTGCACAAAGACTGCTTATTATTTCAACCACATGTTTTCAGATATAAGCAATCATGTACGGTAATACGAATATAATATACAAAAAACAGGCTAGCCTTATGTGAATGCATTGTGAAATTGAGTAAAAAAATCGTTTTAGTGAGAGCAAGATGCACAGAGAAAAGATAAACAATGGTCATTAGCTTGAAAAGGGAAGATGCTGGCTTGAAAAACACATTTTTTGAAAATACAACATTAATTTAAATCCAGTTTCCGAATGTTGTCCCTGCTTTGACACACACACACACACACACACACACACACACACACACACACACACACACACACACACACACACACACACACACACACCTTTATCTACTGCGCTTATCATAAATAAAAATGGTATAGTATAATTTTTGAAAACATCCACTAATGGTCTCAATAGTTCTGAATGCTTAGCCTTTTGTTATTGTATACTATTTTTTTCATGGACACATATTCACTTACTCTATTATCGTGGATTGAATTCCTCATGATATATTTTTATTATTAGCGACCGCCTTGCCAACAGTTTTATAACTTTTTTTACAGCCAATATGAAAGAGGTGTTTTCAAGGGCAAAACCTCAATGAAAGAAAACCTTGGTCATTATTTTAACAACAAATGAGGTCTGAAGTCATTTTAAACCATGGAATAAAAGTCATGTCTCTTTAATGAATCCAAACATGTCACTCGCTACATATCAGCACCACATGACAAAACAAACAGGCCACCAAACATTAGGTGAAAACATGAAAGTCACACGTCTAATGCCCTGCATCACCAGGCGTGATTCCACTCTCCCAGACAAAGTGGCACAGCTGGCAGAGAAAAGAGCAAGCAGCAAGCAGAAAGCAGGCAGCGTGTTAGATGACCTGGGGATGTGAATAACCTTGGTGACTGGGGAAGGCCAGCACTAATTAACGCCATGCAGCCATGTTTGCTGCCAGGGCATCGTCACAGGGCCACAGTCCTTGGAATCTCCCCCATGGATGTCCTCGTCACTCCCCTGCTACCACCCCAATCCAGACCCTGGGGAGGACTGTTCACCCCGTCTCACGCCAGCCTCGACCCCTTGCATGATAATGAGGGGGAGGTTTGGGAGAGGAAAAGACATACCCAAAACTGTGTCAGTCAAATGCTAGCCTGCTAACACCTTATCATCATTACTGTCACCTCTCTTTACTACCACTCCATCGATGATTCGGCATTCTACTTTTGTAAATTCACACCTTGGGAACCAGTACTGTGAAGCTACACTGTTCATTCTATTTAGTATAAAGTGTATTTACATATTCAGGCAATATGCTTGGCAATTTCAACAGCAGGACGGATGATTTGACTTCTTAAGCTTAACGAGTGGATGGCTAATTTCTCCTCAGCATGAGTGTTGGAAGTGAGAACAGCACTTGCAGCCAAACATGTCAGTCAATCATTAATTGGGACTCTGACATCCTGCCTCAAAAATGATGCCATACTTTCACAGTATCAACACTCAGCATCCTTTTGCACATGGTCTAGCATTCCCACCAGAGCACTATGGAACTAATATTCATCGCTGGCAATTTATGGATTCATTTATCACCCACATCTTATTTGCTTCTCTTAATCGACCCTGGGGGTCTAACTATGGCCTTGGCTGGCCACCAGTGCTGGAGCTTTATTCCTCTTCACACAGGCCTAGTGTTAACGCTGCTGGCCAAGTTCACAGATTTGACTGACTGTGGACTTAATGCCGCTTGCCTTGTTTTCAGCACTTGTCCCTCCAGATTTGCCACCCTGGCTGCACAATTTCCTCCAATTCTAATTATTCATCAGCTCGTTATGCCTGTGCCTGGGCGCCTCCCCTAATTAGAGGCGACGCAGGGTTTGGTCCCAGGCTAGCCTCGAGTGAGGGAACCAGTTCAGAACCAGTCCGAGGCGTGCGCTCGTGGAGGACTGGGTAACTGCCAGCGTCTCCAAGTGCACGAGGGAGAGGAAGGGCCTATCTTGACAGTGTGATGTGACGTGCCTTCACACAGTCTACCCCACATACACACACATTAATCATTCTGCAATGTCCCATATCTATTAGCATAACCTCTAGATATTTATAAGAACCCTGGAACAATGGATTTTTTTCTCTCAGTGGTGTGATGTATTGCCAGTGTAGTGTGAATGTTTTTGTTGATTTCATATGATGCCGTGAAGCTGAGATGGCGACGTGTGGCTGCTGAGAACAGTGTCAGTGGGCAGGGTAGAAGAGCGTGAATTATTAAATCATTGTTTCCTAATTAACATCAGGCCTTAGACACAAAATAGCCTCTAGAGCTGAAAAACATTGAAATTTCCCACTATTATTAAATGAATAATTCCGGGAGACAGGAAACAAACAATGACCTCCTGTTCAGATAGTAGCGAGACATACTCCCATCACTGTCAATATCAATTGTATTTGTACAAAAAGAATCATAGCAACAATATTTGATAGTCATTGGGAAAGTAATATCTCATGGTCTTATGGTAAGATGGTCTAAAGAAGGATTACGGTGCTATACATTAAATGCACAAGCAGGGCGGCAAAAAGGGTTAACTTGTTAACATTATCCTACAGCTACTGAACCTCAAGACTTTTTTAGCTACAGATGTTTTATGCAGGCTCATAATGGACTTTTGGGACAGCATATTTAACCCCAAAGGGGTTAGCAACCTAGATTACTGGCAGCTGATTGTCCAGTTCATACAGCCCATCCTAAATACTACACTATAATTACAATTATTCATTCTCACATGCAAATAGTTTCTCCTCAAGGCCAGCTGCAAAAACGATCATCATTAAAACATGTTATCACCATGGCTGAATTGTTTAAACTAAATATTAAAAAGTATTTTTATGAATATTTGGAAACCCTCAAAATAGGATAAATGACGACATCTGTAATAGTGTCCTTCTTGTGGCCTGAGGTATCATGTGTTCACATGTCCGTGTGTGCGTTTTCACATTAGCAGATCTGCTACCACTGTTAAGTGTGGTTCTCCATCTTTTTCTCACCTTTTCCTCCTCCCGTCCTTTCCTCCCACATCATGTCAGCCCCCTCTGGCCTGGAGTCAGGGAGGTCGGGTTGACTGAATGGACAAATCTGCTTTGGGCCTGAGTAAACACAGACAAGAGCTCATGGTTACAAAGGTGTACATGACACACGCCTCCTAACAGCGAACTGATAAAGACTAAAGCACATTTATTCACTTTCTCATACAAAACGCACGCCACTTGCACATAAACAGAAGCTCACACGTACATGAACAAAGTAGTGCTAATTAAAGCCCTCAGTGTGAGCAGAGAAATATGTAATCCTGACATTTAGTCAAGGGAGATTTGGGGAGACGAGGAGAAATTCTAGCGCTCGACTTGAGCTGGGCCTGGGGCAAGCTGGCAGACAAAAGGACAGCGGCAGGCAGCGAGGCTGGGATAGGGAGCGGCGGAAAGGTCATCTCCGTGAAAAGGCTAACGTGTCAGTGCTTTTGTTCATGGCCCTCGGAACATATGTTTGGCCCTCCTCCACGGCTGCCCGTGCTATCAGGATGAAATCTAACCCCCAGCCCCCAAATGCAAGAACAGAACACACTCACACAAACACACAAGCGCAACCACATGGTGGACAGTGGTTGTGTTACTGTAGCACAGTTGTTTAGGATAAATGGATAAAAGTTGAGTTGAAGGTGTTGTCTTACCACTCTCAGTTTCGGAAAGCCACACCAATCAAGAACACCTGTCTGCTTCTGTGCCAGGAAATCAAGATAAGAGGTGACAAAAGAGAAGAAATGAACAAGTGTGTGAGACTGAACATTGGGTTAAGGCCATTCAAACATATGTGCACAGATAAAGAAATGAGTAATGGCCAAAAAAGGATGCACAACTTTATCCTACTTAGAGTATATAGATTGATAGATATTTTAAATCTGGTGTTTCATTGTCCTTCAGACAGTTAGCTGAGACCTCTCTATTTTCACTCGGCTAAATGTGAGTCCAGTGGGTTGATAACTTAGCCTAGCACAAAGACTTGAAGCAGCAGGGAACAGCTAGCTTGGTCCAAAGGTTCAACCCAGTCTCACGGCATTTCGTGTTATAGTCACAACATTTAATCTATTGATTCGTGTTCACCAACACGATTTTCCCTTTTTTTTCGTTTCACACAGAACACATTTTTAAAAGCAATGTATTTCTATTGGTAGTGTGTTTCGTGCCTGCAACACGTATTTTTGTCCGGTCGGGTTTTGGAAGACCGGAAGCTGTGTGGTTCATAAAAACATGTTCTTACTCAATATCAAGCCACGATTATTGTTTTTATTTTAAATCGTATAATGTTGGACTTTTTTTGCCATCCGTGAGGAAAATAAATGGGGCTCAGAGCCTCAGAATACTGAAATCTGTATTTTTTTAATATTTTGTTCCTTCTAATTTTTAATTCTTTTTTGTAAATAACACACTGTTATTTACTCAACAATAACACACAATTATCCTTGTTTTTATTTATTTGTTTAATTCTATAATCTCTGGCTTTTTTGGCGTCCGTCAGGAACTGAATTTCAAAATAAAATAACCGGAAACAGACGTAGGCCTCTATGGGACATTTCGAGCATCATTGCGATACACAGCTACTGAACTCATTACCCAAGATCCTCAGCTATAGTTTAAGCTCGGTGATTTGGATGTTTTAGCCGCAATGCACGTTGGGATATGGTGTTAATGCGATATGAAATCCGAAAAACATTTACAAGACACTACACTACCCATAATCTTCAACTATTGTTTGGGACTACAGTCCCGTTGCTTGACAAACCCCGTGATTAATCTTCAAGCTCTGGGATGGGTAGTGGCAGCGCCGTATAGACTGAGAGTTACGTCATCTCCGTTCACTCCAATGGACCACTTTTTTACAGCAATGGCGGATCGTGGAGCCTCTCAATAGTTCCCAGGAAGTTAGCGCCAAGGCTAGCAGAGCTGTAGAGTTGCAGCATAATAGACCGTTCGTGACGGACTTTTAAAGGTAAGAAGAAGTTTAAAGATTTATATTGCGGATATTATCAGTACATCTGATTCAAATGAACATGTGTATTAAAGGATGTCAGTGGATTATCCCTAAATTAGTAGATTTAGGGAACGTTTACAGATAACAGATAAAGCTAGGATACCGGATCAAGTTAGCAACACACGTTGAACAGCCTTTTAATTGTAAATTCCGTTCTCTTAATGTCATTTCGTCCAACGTTGTTGAATTAGAGAAGAGGGGCTTATAAACGGGATTGTATGCGGGGGTGGAGGGAGTTAAATATTAGATAAATATAACTTTGGTGCGTGTAAGAGTGTGTTTTTAGCAGAGCCATATTTTGTCCTTGTGATTATGTTGATTATTACCTGTCTGTATAATGTTGCAGCTCAGCTGATTTTGGATTGATGGCAAAGGAAGAGGGACTTAAAGAGCCTGTGACACGAACCCAACAACTGTTGTGCAATGAAATAGTGGGCTACTAGTAATCTCTAACCGTCAGTTTAAAAAAGAAAAAGCGATACCGTTCCGATAAATATCAATAATTTCGAACATCGCGGGAAAATTCCTTCGATTCATTTTGAGATTTTGGGGGAAGCCGGAAGTGACGTCAATGCGGGAACGCTTCACTGTGCGGCGAGAGAGCCAAAACACGGACAAAGTGTGTTGTCATGTGTAGAAATGGTGAATTACTGAGTTTAGGCACGTTAATAACGTTTTAATGAAGTTGATTACAGTATATTCATATATGTCAGTGCTTTCATGTCAATTCTGCGAACATAAACATACATGATCGTGGTGAAGATGATGATTAAATTAGGATTACAAATCGGTAGTGAGAGCTGCTGAATTTCCTCCCGTCGGATGTGATATAAAAACAAATTGATTATTTTTGAATTTTTTTCTTGTAGTACGGAAGTTGTATTCACCCCATGCCGCATGGGGCGCCAGGTTGCGGGTGATGTGGTGACTGACCGTTGATGTTTTTCGATTCAAACAAAAGAGTAGTCCTTTACGTCCCTGGCGCGAGTTTGTTTTCTACATTAGTAGTAGGAGTGCTAGTAATTACATAGGATACAAGGCGGCTTAACTGTACTTTCGTGTTATTTACATCAAAGTAGGGTG